ATTCTCTCTCTCTCTCTCTCTCTCAGCCCATCTCACCTCTCAGGGTTGCTGTTGTGGGCAAAACAGGAGGCAAGAACAGTAGTTATGCTTGCCACCTTGAGTTCACCAAATATAAATTAAAAGGTGGGATAAAATAATAACAACAACAACAATAATATTTATTTATTAAGCATGAAAGCTAGTTCGGTGATTTGGGTCAAGTCATTCTCTCTCTCTCTCTCAGCCCATCTCACATCTCAGGGTTGCTGTTGTGGGCAAAATAGGAGGCAAGAATGGTAACTAAGTTTGCCACCTTGAGTTCACCAAATATAAATAAAAAGGTGGGATAAAATAACAACAACAACAATAATGATTCGACAGGTGGATAAAAATGCCAAATCCAGTCTAAACATCTGGTCAATTATATTAATCCCCCAGTGAGGCACTATTTGGATGTGGTTGTGGTGTTTGTATGCTATGAGAAGGATGGGAGCTATGGCAGAAGTTCAACCACACTGGACCTGCAAATAGAAGCAGAATGACTATGGCAGAAGAAAGTGTTCTGACCTGGCTCCCAAATATGACAAATCCTCTGTAATTAATTAAATGTTCCCTTTATTAGAAGCACCAGCAGCCCTGGCAAAATGTCTCTCTCTCACACACACACACACACACTCACTCACACACACACACCCCAGGCTAACTAGTCTGTCCAGCAGGAAGATTAATAGTTGTCTGTCACACCTATTCATCTCCGCCCCCTGCCTTTTATCCCCAGAAATAGGGTGGGGCTTCGCTAGTTGCAGTGGTTCTTCCGTCCCAAGGATCGCCCCATTGATTTCCACTGCTCTCCTCTCCTCTGCCTTCTGCACATCCCTGCATCAGGCACTGGACCCAGCTGTCCTCCTCTTCCTCATCAGCCATGTCCAGACCTGGAGGCTGTTGACTCTCCATCTGAGGGCTGATGGATGGCCCAGGCTCCACCTCTGTCTCTATCTCTGACAGGTCCATTTCTTCTCCCCCCTTGGAGCTCTCAGATTGCCTTCATGCTGGCCCTGACTCCAATGCCACCTCATCATCTGATTCAGCTGCTGAAGGAGCTGGTGGCCAACAGGCCACAACAGAAAGCAAAGGTGGTACCAATAGTAATAGGCAGCTTGGGTGAAATCCCAAAATAGCTGGAGCACCATTTGAACACCACCAGCCCCGACAAATTCACTGTCAATCAATTGACAAATCAGTCAATTACAAAGGACAGCTTTACTTGGAACAGCTTCCATCCTGAGACAATATCTTTAACATCATCAAACATTCACATCTGCCTATCCCAGGTCCTCGAGGAAGACTCAGTAGGTGGATAAACATGCCAAATTTATTCTAAATATTTGGCTGTACAACAAACATTAATAATAAAGTTATACTCTAATTTCTGTTTAGGTCATATAAATTTTTCACCTTTTAAGTATTTCTCTAGTAATATTAATAAACTTGCCTTAATGGTTATATTTTGCCCACTAGATGGTGCTCATATGGATTTATATAAATAACATTCATACTGACAAAATTAATTGTACAAACCAATCCAGTCTCTGCCTTAGTTGCTGGGCAAAAAGAAGATAATGTCTTTTTCCTAGCAAATCATTGAAGGTATGTTAGCACTGGAAATCTACATTTGTTCAACAGCATTGTTGCATGGTGCTTACAGGCAATTTTCAACCATAACAGGGACCAGAATGTTGGTTGCTAAGCAATGCGGTTGTTAAGCAAGTCATCATGTGACCAGGCCCAATTTTATAACCTTTATTATGCCAGTCACTAAGTGAACCACATGGATGTAAAGTGAAGCTTTGATTGACTTTGCTTGTCACAAGGCATCTGGGAAGATCGCAAATCACAATCACATGACTGAATGACACTATAAAAAATCATATAATAATAGACAAACACAACATATAAATGCAAAATATAAAATGGGGCCAACCAGAAAGCAAGACAATCAGAACTGTCACTCAACTGGCCCTTAACAACTGGGGAAACGTCAGGTCTTAACAGCTTTCTGAAGGAGAAAAGAGGTGGGGAATCTGGCATACGTTGGATGGAAGGGCGGTTATTCCAAAGAATGGGGCAACTGCAACAAAGATACACTTCCTAGGTCCAACAAGGTTTAAAAGAAAGAAACTGGAGTATACCTCCTTCTGGCAGTGTGTAAGAGATTAGGGTTTAGATTACAATTTACATATGTGGAGATTTGAAGGCTTGTAAAAAGAACTTGCTATTAATAAGGGTATGATCAGGGTAGTGAACTATTCTGTATTCTTCTGAAATCATTTGGAAATCAAATCATTTTCTTCCTGAGTTGTCCCTAGAATTCAGTGGAATGATTTCTAGAAATAGGGCCTTAAACATGAAATTCAGGATGTGGTGCAGTGGTTAGAATGCAGTATTGCAGGCAAACTCTGTCCACAGTCTGGAGTTTGATCCTGATGGGGCTCAAGGTTGACTCAGCCTTCTGTCTTTCAAAGGTCAAAAAAAAAAAAAGAATGTGAGAGCAATATGCTGACATTTTAAACCTCCCAGAGAGTGCTGTAAAGCACTATGGGGCAGTATATAAATCTGAGAGTTATTGCTATTGTTATTGCTAGGTATATCTCACTGGTCTCCAGTGTCAGCTATATTCTGGTGACCTGGTTCTGATTTCCAGTTATGAATATTGTAAGGTGAAAATTGAAGCTAGTTGCTTTGCCTCAATTTATCTGTTAGCTGCAGACACAATGCTTGAATGAACATGGATAGATAAGTAGTGGAAAGAAGGGAAATAGGTACTTCCCATAACCTGTGAGCATGTACAGAAACATGTGGAACTATGTTACTACAGCTAGGAGTGCCAAAACTCTTCTGATAAATGGCAAAGATTCAGTGTATTTCAGGGAAGAATTCTTTCCATGTGGTATCATTTTCTTCTCTTATGTATTCTTAAGTCACTTACAAATATACAGTGAGCCCATGCCTGGGAGAAAAAGAGGAAGAAAATCACTATACTGTTGCTTTTGTGTTTAATTTATGACTCAAAGCCACACCACTCATTCTATAAAGCCCCATGGAAAGCATAAAAATTGCTTTTGCTCTTATTAATTTCACACCAAAAGAAACCAGGGAGAGGCAATTTCCCAAAACAAAGACTTCTGAAGGTGCCTGAGGGATTGCCAAACAAAGATAAAAAAGCACAGCTGAGCAACTTGCAAGCTTTAAACCAGGTGGAACAATACCTTGAATAATGCTCTGTTGCAACAGCAATTATGAAGAAAGAGACAAATGGGGCCTGTTGGAATATTGACAGCCTTTGTTTCACACCTCACTGTGTGTTCCAAGTGCCCTAATAGCTGGCAGCCCCATTGATTTCTGTCTCCACAGAATTAACAAAACCCAAGCACAAGTGAAAGCCTTGCTTTTGGTTAACCTTCATGTCCCTTTCCCCAAAATGTTTGGTTTCAGGGATCTCTGCTAACGACGGAATACTAACTTCTCCTTTCAACTAGGTTGGAAATGCCAGTGTCTCAAACTAAGTAAAAATAAAGTAATGCTAACCTGGAGGGGGGAAAACACATTTTCCTCCTGTTTGCCTCCTTTGCTTTCCATTGTTCTTATGGTGGTAGTGAAATAATTTGAGCAATACAGCCTCTGTGATCTATCTGAGATGTAAGATGGAAACCAGTGGTGGGATATGGGATTTGAACATTTTTTACTACCGGTTCTGTTGAATGCCACCTCTGATGGAAACTGATGGCCTGGCCAAGGAGATGTAGATTAGAAAGTGCTGCTCCCCTACATCTCAAATAAATGATAGAGGAGTGAATTAGTTGTTAGATTTGTTTTAATCAGCTAAGATTTATGCTAAGAGCAGAGCAGACACAACCTTGGTCATTTTGAAGCCTCTCAGGTACATTGGAAATAACCTTTTCCCCTTTTGAGGGGTCCTTGGCGCTCTCTGAACTTACCTGCTTTCTTTCAGACATTTCATTACTCAAACTAGGTAACACCATCAGTGTTAGTAAGGAGTCAGTTTATATTCAAGTAGCTTGCCTGTCAGTGCTGATGGGATAGTCTTAGAGATTCTATGGCTGGGCTGTTTGCTGTTGGCTTCTTTGGCAGTTTCTTGATTGGGGTATTGTTTACTTGATTGTTGGTCTGATGTTAACCTTGGAGTTAATCTATGCTGATCTGGGTGCTAATTGATGGTGGAGAGGTGCTTGGGTCATTTTGTTCCTTTTGGGGCTGGGTGATAGTCCTTTTTTGCATAGTCTATAGATGTTGTTAATGTCTATATGTCTATTGATGGCTGATTTGTCAGAGTGCCAAGCTGCTAGCAATTGCCAGGCTTCTAAACACAGCCACTATGTAGGACAAACAGGTAGAAGACTGGCAAAACGCATCCATGAACACCAACTAGTAGTCAGAAGACAAGATGAAAATTCTTTAATTTCACAACATATAGACGGATTTAACCATAGTTTCAATTGGGAAAATGTGACCATTCAAACCAAGTCCAAAAATGCTAGGGAATTTCTAGATGCCTGGCACTCTGACAAATCAACCATCAATGGACACACAGACATTAACAACATCTGTAGACTATGCAAGAGACCAGCCCAAAAGAGAACAAAAAGATTCCAGTACCTCTCCACCAGTAACCACCACCAATATCAGCATATATTAAGTCCAAAGTTAACATCAGACCAACAATCAAGTAAGCAATATCCCAATCAAGGAACAGCCAAAGAAGCCAACAGCAAACAGCCCAACCAAAACATCTCTAAGACCATCCCCACCTACACTGGCAGGCAAACCACTACTAGGACATAAACCTACAGCAAACTGCACTCCAGCACCCAGCACTGATGATGTTACCTAGTTTGGCGAATGAAATGTCTCCAAGAAAACAAGCAAGCTCAAAGAGCACCAAGGACCCTTCAGGTCAACCCTGAGCTACAAATATTCTCCTTTGTTTTTCCCCTTTTGTTTAGGAAACTATGGAGAGAGTGGCATGGAAGCTTTCAAGGAACTGGCTGCACAAGAAGGCCTTTGTATTGCGCATTCAGACAAGATCTACAGCAATGCGGGAGAAAAAAGCTTTGAGAAGCTGTTACAGAAGCTCCGGGACAGGTTGCCAAAGGCTAGAGTTGTGGTTTGTTTCTGTGAAGGGATGACCGTCAGAGGAATCCTCATGGCTATGAGACGCATGGGAGTACTTAGAGAGCTTCTACTGATTGGGAGGTAAGTCATGTACCTTTGCTTGCTGTCATATCGGGACAAAGAGGAGAAAGAAAGGTAAAACCTTGTTACTCCTATAAATCTAGAGTTTAGAACGAGAACTCTTATGGAAAATCAAGACCAGAACTTAGGCTTATTTTCAGTGGTGGGATTCAAATAATTTAACAACCAGTTCTCAGTTCTCAACCAGTTCTCTGCCCTAATAAGTTCTTCCAACAACCAGTTCCCCAAACTGCTCAGAAAGTTAACAACCGGTTCTCCCAAAGTGGTGCGAACTGGCTGAATCCCATCACTGCTTATTTTCCTTTTCGTGTATCACAAACGCCTCACATTATTTTTTGAATATAATTTCCATTTCACTTTGCCCTTAAAATAGCAAGCAAGTTTTAAAACCAACCAATGTTCTCTGGACAGGTTGAATAAATGAACAAAATGTGCTCAGTTGAGCACTAAAGAGGGATTATATAAACACCTTCTGGTAAAAGGAACCATCATGAGCTAGTAGTATGGTCTTACTTTATATGAGAACTTTTTAAAATTAGTTTATGACATATGTTGTGGCTTAATAGAGGAGCACAGAGTTGACCTTGGAGAGAATACATGGCAACCATTAAGACAACATGAACTTTGCCTGGAAAAACAAGACAGTGGGCGAAAGAAACTCAAGATTGCCCCAACTTGATTCTCTTTGGTATAAGAGGGAGGGAAGGCAAAACACTTGCAGGCTTTCAAGAATCTGTTATTTTGCCCTAAATTAATAAAGCAGAGTTTCACTATTTTTTGTGATATCTGCTTCCTGACCTGGTCTAATTTGAAGGGCTGACAGGTTTTGAATAATGGTTCTTCCTCTTTACATGTCTCCCTACCACAAAGATCTCCAAATGTTTCATTTCAATGGCTTATTGTCTTTCATTTTTTCACTTTTATGGAAACTTATTTTGTGAGAAATACGAGAGCACAAAAACCAAATATCTCCCCCACCCTCATTTAAAATTTCCACCTCTGCACCTTGATAGTATCCTATCCACTTTGCATCATTGTCCATGAATGGTAGATCTTGTCCCTCCCAAAATTACTACTTCAGGAAGGAAGGATTAATCATGCTTGATGTAAAATAATTCTCAAGGAACTTGCTGGGGAGGAGAAAGAAGGTTGATCTTGTAAGACAGGGGTCCCCAACCGCCGGTCCGCAGACCGGTACCGGTCCGCGGAACAACTCTTACCGGGCCGCTGGTTGCTGGGCGCGCCGCCATCTTTTTTTGGTAAAAAAGTGCTTCCGGTGAGCTTTTCCGGGTAGAAAGCTCACCGGAAGCACTTTTTCATCAAAAAAAGATGGCGGCGCCCAGTTGATGCCGGTACCGGGCCGCGGCGCCCAGCTGATGCCGGTACCGGGCCGCGGCGTCAAAAAGGTTGGGGATCCCTGTTGTAAAAGATGGTGATAAGCTGAGAAAGGAATGGGAGAGAAAGCAGATATGCATAGTCAAGAGAGAAGATCAAGCCAGTTGATACCATATCTTGCAAATGGCAATTTAGTCCAGTTGTAAAATTATTCAAGGATAGAAACTTAATTAAACTATGTTCACAAGAGGCTGTGGAAATCTTTTGCCATGTCCAAAATTCTATATCCACCCGAGGCTAGCATGACTTTGTAAAATCTATGCAGTTCTTGCTTCATTGAACTTGCCAGCTGTGTTCTGCTTGATAACCCCATTGGACAATATTTCTCTGTTCCCTCCATAATTAATAAAACTAATATTTTCAGTTGGAAATGAAGCTCTTTCACTACTTCATCCGATAATTGAAAACATGTGTCATATTTAGAGATCCATCTATATTTTTGAGTATTGAAAATATCACAAGAAAAAAATGTTTCCTGGGGAATGGAAAATTATGTGCAAAATGAAAACATTTCGATAAATATTTCCAGCATGTATTTAATCTTGAATACCACGATTAGTTTTATTTGAATATAACTGGCAACTTGGAATTATATTTATGCACGAAAACTCCAAATATGTCTGAGAAAAATTATGTATTTTAGGACAAGGAAAGCTCTGTTTTTGCATTTTTCCTTTTTGGCTAAGCTAGACCTGAGAAAAGTTTTCTGTCAAGTATATAGATGGTTCTTTTCAGGCAAAAGCAGAAGCAGAAGTGGTTGTTTTAGCTGATTCCTCAGGTGATGAGCACAGGTGAGACAATGCTAATCATCAAAAATATCATGGATCTGGCAATTTGTGTCAGTGGTAGAACTTATGTCTTTTAAACATCATTGACAGATACCTGTTCCTTTTCTTCCAGCTGCCTGAGGGTTTCAACTTGTCACTGTTTCAATTTACCAATTCCTATGGACCCAGATGATGTATCCCTGCACTCAGGAATAGTAGACTGAGCTGTCAAAAAAAGAAAATAGTAATGATAGGAAGCTTAGAGTACCATGAAGCCTGTCAAAAAAGGGGAAGAAATTTGGAGCAAATACTTTCTTCCTCCAGTCCATTTAATTTATAACCCTAGTGGCAGATGCCCTGAGACTAATTCTCCCCCTTTCCTAAACAATTGCAAAAACTGCTGGATTATGTTTTCCTTCCTTCCTTCCTTCCTTCCTTCCTTCCTTCCTTCCTTCCTTC